GAATGCATTCATGATAAGGTAGTACTTTGCATTTTCCAATTATGGGGAATTTTTTTTAATATAAATTTATTTTATTTATTTATTTATTTTTGGCTGTGTTGGGTCTTGGTTGCTGTGCGTGGGCTTTCTCTAGTTGCGGCGAACGGGGGCTACTCTTCATTGTGGTGCATGGGCTTCCCATTGCTGTGGCTACTCTTGTTGTGGAGCACGGGCTCTAGGTGTGCGGGCTTCATTAGTTGTGGTGCCCGGCCTTCAGTAGTTGTGGCTCGTGGGCTCTAGAGCGCAGGCTCAGTAGCTGTGGCACACGGGCTTAGTTGCTCCGCGGCACGTGGGATCTTCCCAGACCAGGGCTCGAAACTGTGTCCCCTGCATTGGCAGGTGGATTCTTAACCACTGCGCCACCAGGGATGCCCCTTATGGGGGATTTTTATTGTTCTGTTTTGGACTTTGTTGACTGAACAAGGTGAGGATTGTTTTTTGTCTAAGGTGTTAGAGAGAAGTGCAGTTGGCTAGATCATCATCAGTTAAATGCTCTGCTGCTTATTCTTTTCACTATATACATTTTCAAATGTTATGGAGCCAATGGTATACTGTCATTTTTGAAGATCAACACCTTAGTTCTGTCAAGATCATTAGCAGATTTCATAATGCAGGTAAAACTTAAACATTTGGGGAAACTTGCACAAGCAATTCTACTTGATAAGAGTAAAACAAATGGAACTGAAATGTAAAAATAGTATTTCTCAGGGAGTCTCCTGACCCTCTTTGGTTCCCTTTGAAAATATTCTCACATGAAAATCGTCTTGCCTTTGCACATGCTCATTTTGATATTTTTTGGTTTTAATCAGAAAGAGTAAATTTATAGTCATTTTACTGCCATGAGGAGGGAGGGAACTTTAACCTTGTCTGTATATTAAAGGGAGAGAAGGAGAAAAGGAGGGGGTGGGAGGAAGGTGAGGAGAGAGGTTTACTAATCTGCTATAGAAACATATTAAAGGTTGGGAAGAATAGCTGAAGACTGAAGTTATTAATACTCTGTAAAAGGAAAATTGTGTCTTTTTAACCCCCAGTATGTATTGGTGACCAATTCCCATCTGTTGCATATGCTTTTATGCTATGTAGAAACGTTAACCAAGGATGAAGGATCTACCAAGATTGTGGTGACCTCTACAAGTCTTATTATTTTTAGTATTAATGTGAAACATTACTCTAAAGGCAGAAGACATTCTCTTAAGGTGACATACGCTAAAGACATTGACCTAGGAAATCTAGATTTCATATTTTTTCTGTGCATATGTATTCCAAATCCAACAAAAATACTATTTATAGTATAAAATGAACTTTATTTGGATTTGTGCAGTATATTAGAGTCATCTGACCATACTAAATTAGTACTTAATCAAAAGATTCTAAAAGTAGACCACTAGGACTTCCCTGGCGGTCCATTGGTTAAGACTCCACGCTCCCAATGCAGGGGGCATGGGTTCGATCCCTGGTCAGGGAACTAAGATCCTGCATGCTGCACAGTGCGGCCAAAAAAAAAAAGAATGTTAAGAAAAGTAGACCACTAGAATGTTCTAGAAAGTATTCAAGCATCTGGGGCTCCGATGATCTTGCTTTTAAATTTCCTTTAAGAAAATGAGAAGAGTCCTTATAGTAATTGATATATTCCCTGCTTCTTCGTGGTGGAAACAGAGGTAGCAGATGGGTCTATGTTTGCACTTGAGCTTGAGGATTAGCTTTTATCTTGCTCCAACCCCAAGTTCTCTTTTTTGATCCCAGACCTCTTTTCCTAAAAGTTATTTGATTTGCGTTAGCCGGAGAGCATGGATGCAGGGTCTGTGCATATGCTCTCATTGTCCACTGCACTCCCCGTTGCTGTGGATTTTGTGGTCCATGAACACCCAGTCAGGACAGGGAGGAGGGGGAGAGGAGGGTCCAGAAAAGGAGAAAAGAGTGACCCCTCCCCCAAGAGCTCAGGGTTTTCCGTGGTGACGAGTGGTAAGGAAAGCAAGGGTTGGAGACATCCAGCCAGAAGAATGAGACCTGACTTCACCGTTTCCTCCCCAGAGGGTTTGTTTTTTTCCCTTCTATATTTCCTCTTTTACCAGAGCTGCTAACAAGTAGCAGAAGTGACTGGTGTGAACATCGGCTGCTTTCACTTCAGTTCACCTGGGTGCTTGCTGAAGGGTCTGTTAATGAGCCCAGAGAAGGTCCCAAAGTAAAAGGAATTTCCTTGGCTTCTCTCTCTCCTTCCTGCTCATAAACTTGCCCACGAAGATGCCATGCTTATGGCCAGTGTGAAGATTACAACAGGATAACCCAGGGGCTGGTGGGGCTCAGATAACCAGCTTTGATCACATTTCAGCGAGTACAGATATGGGCGCCCTAATGGAGGTGTGGTCTAAGAACTTCTCATATGAAGGAGAAGGGAGCCTCACTTCTGCTTGCATCTCCACGGCTTTTTAGTCCCCCCTTGAAATACCATACAGTGTAGCTCTGCTGCTTCTCTCCATGCCCACCACCAGGTAACGGCCTAATTGGTATAACACGGACGAAGAAACCTTGAAATGGTCTCCAGTGGGGAGGATCCAGAGCCATTGATTCTCATTATTAGGATAATCCAATGTCTGAAAGCTGGAGTCATGTCTTCATACTGATCTCTCCTCTGCACAGGGGTCCCGTGTGGCCGCTTTCATCTTTTTCTCTGCACAGAATCTAGTGCTTTGAACATAAACTTTAAAACATTTGTTAAACTTGAAGCTGAACTAGTGGCAGAAATGATCATTTGGAGCATGTTCCTAGAGCACGTTTTTATTTCTGGGATGGAAGAGATGTTGAATAGCGCTTGCATTATTTATTTATTTATTTATTTATTTATTTATTTATTTATTTTTTGCGGTACGCGGGCCTCTCACTGTTGTGGCCTCTCCCGTTGCGGAGCACAGGCTCCGGACGCGCAGGCTCAGCGGCCGTGGCTCACGGGCCCATCTGCTCCGCGGCATGTGGGATCTTCCTGGACCGGGGCACGAACCCATGTCCCCCGCATCGGCAGGCGGACTCTCAACCACTGCGCCACCAGGGAAGCCCGTGCTTGAATTTTTGTAAGCAGTTTCACAACACTTTTTAGGACATATGTATATAAATAATTAAAAATTACAGAATAGAAGTTTGAGAAAAGAACATAAATACAGGATATAGTCCC